CAAGTTTCAAAAAGGTTACTTTGTAATATGGCTATTTTTTCATGCAGAGGTATAGTGAAAGTCGATCTTTCAATTTAAGCCGAAAGCTGGCGGCAACATTTCTCAAGTGAAACTTTTTACTACTATAATGTGATTGTGATGCAATAAAAAATGGTCATAGGTATTATAATCGAAGTATTGATTGTAGTAGAGACCTTAGTTTTCCAGCGAGTGATTTTATGACTTCATCGCGAGAGGCGTTCTTGTCTCTTTCACTGTCGGCGAGATTCACATACTGCTCGAACAAATCTTCATCGCCTGAGTTAGTAAATAATATTGAAAATCGGTCACGACGAAATTTATAATGTAAAATTCACCACTTGCTTCTCTTTGCTTCTTAGCAACTACACTCGACGTCCCATGCAAATAGCATTTAACACCGTAATATTTCTAGCAACACCGTCATGTGCTCTGAAATTTGACTCCAAAATACTGGAAGCAAAGGACACTCCACTGACAAAAGCGGCAGACGTGATAATAGAAACTGAACTAATGCAAAGATACTTTCAGGCTTTATTCTCTGCACATTCTCCACTTTCTCATAATGCATTGGAGTGGAATAAAATGCAGCAAAAGCAGCTAACCTTCACTGGAACATACAGTGAGTTGTATGGCGTTGGACACTCGGATTCCATAACCCAGGTAGCTATTTAGGGCAACCGCCACTAAAGAAGGCGCTTTGAAAATACTGAATGAATCAAACCTTAGCTCACCTGCTGCGTGAATGATAGACATAAGAAATAAAGAACAATAACAATGCTTATATCAGTCAAACTCATTATCTCAAGTAGACCGTATTATAGCGCGGCCGTGTAAAACTTTCGCCCAGTTACACTCCATTGTGTTAAGCCATATGAAGCAGCCAGTTTCGAAGAGAAATTTACATCAACGCAGATATTATGACCGTTAAGCGGTCTCATCAAATTTCTCCGGAATATGTTGAAAATTTTTTTAACTATAGTAAATCTAACACTAGGTTGATGCAATAGTTTCATTCTATTCAAAGACGATTACTTGTGAATGATTGACTTCGATCAACTTGGCTTGAAGATGAAAATGTTGAAACGCTGGCCAAATAAAAAATTCATATCAACTCCGTGTCACCTCAGTGGTATAATATAGCGAATATTCTTGTTGTAGAAGAGTGTCAGCTTTCATGATTTCGTTCGAAGCAATTTCGATCCTGTTGGTCGAAATACACCTGTTTGTCATTCTTTACTTACTACATGTACTGAAACGCAAAATAGTGAAACAAAGAGAGCGATAAACTAACGTCATATACCAGTATGAGATATTAACTCCTAATGCTCTTAAATACTCGTTTATAGTTGATGATAGAAGTTCTTAACTCTATAACTCTATCGTAGCGTCCCTGTCATATTCAGTACTTATAGGTATAGTCTTAACAAAACGTCGATGTATATACATTATAAAATATCTCAAAATCTGAGGATGGCAGCAGAGTGGTTAGGGAAGTAGGATATCAAAAAAATAAGTTGTTGGTAAAACTCGTTCTCTACCACTCTCTTGCAATCTCACAGGTCGCCTTAGCTCGGCTATTTTCACGATTGAAGCGATGATTTGACTTCATCAGCACTCTATGACATCAAAGTGAGGAAGACGAAATACTGGTGCAGCAGCTGAAGTAGCATGCCAAGTTTTCGCGGATATTTGTTGGGACCAATGCGAAGCGAAATGAATGAAAGTGTTGGGGTTCGTACAACAAATCGTGCTGAGCGTCGTGTAAAGTAATATTCATATTCAACAATAATTGACTAATGCAAAACTCTGTACTAAATTGATTGACTACTGACTTGTGACGCACTTTCTATAATGAGAAAGTCGGAAATTTTTTGCATCAAGCCGAAATGCATGAACAATGTCATTTGAGCATAAATTGTCATACCAATGTATCCGTTGTGCATTTCCATATTGAAAAAATTAAATCGTTATCAAAATTCAGAGGAAACTCATTGCAAAGTATGGTGTCTCATCAGTCAACTAATGAAAATAGTTGACGACAGTTATGTCGGAATAATAAAATGAAGCTCAAGCGGATCGCAAATTCCTCAGGGTTTTCCTGGATGAATTCACCCACAAGAAAGCGTCAACGAGTTTTTTGTGAATGATATATAGACCACGGAGTGATTTTCCCAAGGATCGCAATATTTGAAAAGAGATACGACCGTGAATGATGGAAATAGAAAAGCGAAATATGCTGAAGAAAGCACTTCTGAAGACTCGCTCAAAAGTACACTAGTGCCCTATTCAGCTATTCGCAAGGCCTGTATAATGTAGAAAGAATAGACATCGAACGTGCACAAAGGACACATATCATAGAATAGTCAATAAACTGACAGATGCTTTCGTAAGAAGAATCAAACAACCAAGCGTGATGTTACCAACACAATCCACGAGTTGAACGGCTCCATTGCTTCCGTTTTTCTAAACTAGTCGGTGAGCCCGTTAATGTGAGAATATGATTGATGGTGATCTCCACAAAATATTGTAAGATATTTGGGCGTCACAACATAAGTGAAAGATTCACAGTGGCATTAAGAACGGAAGTGCCTGAGTTACACGATATGTTCACGTGTCTTCTGGTTTCACACAATGATAGATTTGCATTATCTCATTATTCGCTCGTTGTTCCTTCCAATGATTTTCAGTCATAAAGAGTCTTCCGTGATGTAATAAGTTCCCAAGCTAATAAGGTGTGCCACTTAATAGCTGCTTATCTCACTGAACCCATGGTAATGATTTCTCGAAAATTTAAGTGCTCGTTAAGCCCGTGAATTTTGCCATCATGCCAAAATTGAGATAACGTTTGTTAAGAATTTTTTGTTATTCCTAAGGATTTTATGGTATAAATAAGGAAAACTGCAGGTTTCTATCAATGGAAAGTAACATATCAAACTGAAAAAAAGTATTCTTATCAGACCACTACCATATTACATGTATAAAACAGCAGATAGATCATTTCGACACAACAACACAACAGTGCAAATCACAGTACACGCCATCCATAACATCGGATATAATGTTGATCTCGATTAATTTATGTACGACTCTATCTCCTCATCGCTCAATTTCAGCTCTGTCACCCAAACAACAAATTTTGGATTGAAGAATGAATAAAAAAAATGTTTAAAAAAACAAATAAACAGTTTAAAGTAAATGGAACAGTCGGTATTTATGCAAATTACTGGATGCATTGAACGATTTTAATAATTCAAGAAATCATTTCAAACATGTAGAAGACAAGTTAAATTTTATATATAAAACAGCACCTTCATGTTGTCATCAATGCGCTACGGCGTAGCCAATTTCGGAATGATCCCTACACCTTGGCTGAGAGCCCACGAAAGCAGGATCATTTAAAGTTCTAAGATTAGTATGACGTATTATTAGACTTGAACCCAAAGAACGGAATCAACAAACACAATAGAAAAATGTCACTCCTCCTAATCGATCTACACTTTTGTAAGCTGAGAACTCTGCCGAGAGAAAAGTGGAGAGAAGGACTTGATGGTAATGTCAGAACGCTCGCTGCCTCAGAAAGTTATAGTTGTGGTTTCAGTTTATGCACATAGACCATGTTCTAAGCTTTGCTCAAACCTCAACACTATTGAAGGCCCTTCATTGTTCATCGAGCGACTAGAGTTGATACAGCAAAATCTCTGTTAGCACTCTACTAACACCCAATAACAGTCGTTACAAAAAATTTGTTATAATACAGAGCATTCGTCACAATTTTGATATCTTTAGACAGCTATATCCTAGCTCTCAGAAAACCTTCACTTACAAATGGTTCGCCCATATCTCCTTTACTGTTAGCAATTCTTCTCTCCACTCCAACAATGAATCGAGTCTTCGCGTAAATCAAGGAATGATTGCATTCAGTATAACATTATGATATTAAGGAATCGAAGAGGCACTAACACTTTGAAGAAACAGTGATTTCGATAGATTTGATATGAAAGACTGTACTCACCGAAACAGTAGTGTCATGTTTCTTGGCCATATCTAAGACCACGGGGTCCTGCACGAGCGCCGGTTCGTGACGCTCTAGCGACGAGAATTCCTGATCATTATATATATATATATATATATATATATATATATATATATATATATATATATATAATATTCTTGAATGTTATTGCAAATCGAAGTGTAAGATCAAATTTTTTCAAAGTCCTCGCTTCTACTAGATGCAGGAGCATCTGGAAATGTGTTGAGCTAAATAGACAAATTCGGTAGCCAACAAATTTTCGAGATAACTTGGTCACTGTAGACGAAAATCGCTGTGTAAACTGAAACTGGCAATGAAAGCTACTGATTCGAGTCAAAAGACTGGAAACAAGACCTACTGGAGTAAAACAATAAATGGGATTGGGATACTCTCATGTTCACCATAGGAAGATATTTTTTCGCAGTCTTAAAATGTTAATCATTAATACAACTAACAACATAATCACAAGGTGAATTTCCTTTGCTATGTATGATTCTTATTATTACTCTGTCTAACGAGAGCGCACGATCGCTGTATTCATTGTTAACTCAGAAATAGTGAAACGATGTCTTTGCTTGAATCAGGAACACCTGGAAAAAAATTCCCTCCTTATTGCAGTACTTTTTCAACTCATCCCGAGTGAAGTGTGGATGATACTCCACTTGGTTCGCACATGGCATCATCTGGAACACTGATACTTGCTCCAATGGGCCAAAAGTTCGCCGAAGAAAAAATAACCTTTCCATAGCCTTTGATTTCTTCAAGATGTTTCGACTCGTAATTCGACACTCCTACAGACCGAATCTTTCCGTCATCTAAACAAGGGCTTACAAATCATTTCATACAATCAGAACTAATTTTTATTAGATTGCCACTTGCGGTGTAATGATGATTCAATGTACCTAATAATGTAGAGTGGTGTGCAAAAACATTTGCGTCAGCCGGGGCGTCGGTTGTGCAGCGGTTTAGCACACGCTCCCGTAAAGAGTGAGATATGGGTTCGAATCCCGGTTGACGCAAACGTTTTGATTACTGTTCTATTATGGCGGCACCAGTTGAGGCCTTCGGTAAAAGCGTATTCTTTGCACTTATCTAACGAATGTATGATTATTTGATAGCTTAAATCAGGTGAATTTTGAAGGTATATTTTATTTCTCATACTGCATGGTTTCAACGCCGTACCAGTCAAAATAATATTTTGCTTTACATTCGAAGATTTATCGTCTAATAAAAATTTTCCTATAACAAAATTTCAACAATTAAATAGAGCCAATCATTCTGATTGAGGAAATGTGTTTCCTCATTGGTATTACAGCTGTACACACACCCCAGCCGGCTAGAAGTGCTCACTGAGTGTGAAATCCAATATTCTTTTGGTCGTTACAAAGCTCGAAGAAGCCCTTCCGAAAGCCAAATAAGCAGTTATAATGGGAAAGATTTTCTCTATCTAACGATTAAGAGCTCACTACAGCAAAACCTTTATGCATTGAGAAATCTTTGAATGAGAAACAAAATACTATTTTGACTAGTACAGCGCCAAAAGTAAGCTACTTGAGAAATTCAACATGCCGTTAATATTTCACTTGATTTGAGCTATCGATATCCTACGGAAACGTTTTGCAAAAGCAAAAAATACGTTTCTAACAAAGGCCTCAACTGGCGCCACCATAATAGATCAGTACTCATTTTTGCACACCACTCTACATTATTGGGTATATTGAAACATCATTTCATACAGTTCCAAACGTTCTATATATCTTTACAAGATTCACAAAATCTTCAAATTAAAGACATTGAAGTACTTTCTTTTCTTTGTATTTCTTGGTCATAATATGTTTCTGTCCCGGGAATCGTTTATTTCTTCCTTTTTGATATACCTGATAATAATTTACGAGCCACGCATGTGGTCTGTTAACGGGTGACTTATAGGACTCGATAAAAGTGTTTCGAACTTGACAGTCTCGTGAGTCAGGCGGTACCTTTCGTCTTTAGCCAAGAAGTCTCAAGTCAAAAAATCATTATCAGGCATATTAAAATTTGAACGTGGTCTCAAAAAACATTCGAAGCGAAAAATATTTCTCTTTTTTCTGAAGAAAATCCCTTGACGCCTCTTTTTTTCCTATTAATTGATTTGTTGCTTGTTCCTCTCTTAGCTGGGGAATGGCTAATTAAAGGTCGTTATTAGGGTCTATCGCTGACCTCGGGAATGTTACACGACTGAATTTGAAATGGTGGCGCAAGCTTGTCTTCCTAAGAGACTAGTTATAATTCACATCTCAACGACTCTCTAGATGATATATTTTATTGTCGGGGAGAAGTACGCTCACAGTAAAAGTTTTCAAATTCTGAAGATGTAAAAACTGCATAACAAAAAGTTCAGTTACACTCACAATATAGAGCTGGTATGAGATGGGTTCTACTGAAGCGAGCGATACCGCCGTAAAGTAATGGAGGAAAAGAAAAATTCCGGGAAAACCGTACCTACATATTCAATGCGATTTGGCAAAGATGCATCAATACAGATGAAAATATCTATTTAATACAATTATTGAACATGTACTATTAAGGTAACTCTAATTACGACAATGACTCTATTTATGCCAGATAATCTTTTTATAACTATATAACAGCACTTCCTATTTCACTCCATGATTGATCGCGGTGATTTCGTACGTGTATGATATGCAGAAAGGGATCTCTCAAAGATGAACTCTTAGCCACAAATCTAGTTCACATCCACATCACCTGTATCATCTGTCGTCCCGTTGATCGTCGAGTGACTCGAGCGGGTACCAGCAACTCTTCCATTTTTCCCTATCGCGTGCAAGAGTAACGCAGTGGGTCCTCCTCGCTCTAGGAATTCGCTGAGCATCATATCTTTCTTCCATCGCTTTCGTGAAGAAATCGGACCAACGGGTCAGTGGTCTTCCTTTAGAGCGCTTGACGTCCCGAGTAATCCAGTCGGTAACGGCTCTCGTCCATCGGTTGTCGTTGAAGCGCATCACGTGTCCGGACCACCTTATTTTCGATATCCTGGCGTGTAGAACGGCGTCTCCGATTTTCGATCGTTGACGTAGGTCGGAAGTTCGGATCCTTTGTCTCATTTGCGAAATACGAGATACTCCTAGCATCGACCTTTCGACTGCGCGTTCGATAACGGCAAGTGATCTTTCATCCTGCTTACGTAGCGACCAGGTTTCTGCTGTATACGTTAGGGCAGGGATAATTGTCGAGTCGAAAAGGTGGGCACGGAGTCGGATGTTCTTTGTCCTCTTCACTAGATCTTCGATGCTCTTAAACGTTCCCCAAGCCGCTCGTTTCCTACTGCTCAACTCTGGGGCTAGGTCGTTCATCATGTTGACTTCACGACGTAGATAGATGTAACTGGAGCATTCGGAAATTGTCGTTCCGTTGAGCGTGAATGGGGCATTAGAAACCCATCCGTTCCTCATGAACATTGTTTTCGTTAGATTCAGTTGAAGACCGATCTTTCCACAGGCGTTATCGAAATCAGTCAACATTCGTTCCGCTTGGCTGATGTTTGGTGTTATGAGAACGATATCGTCAGCAAAGCGAAGATGGTTTAATTGTCGACCGTCAATTTTCACTCCCATTTCGTCCCATTCTAACGTTCGCATGACGTTTTGCAGGGTGGCAGTGAATAGTTTTGGCGATATTGTATCGCCTTGTCGAACCCCTCTTCTTACGTCAATGGTGATATTGTTGTAGAATGGAGATATTCTGGTCGTGAAATCTCTATAAAGCTCACGAAGGATCATTATGTACCGAGTAGGGACGCCCTGGTTATCCAGAGCCTCTATAACTGCTTCTGTTTCCACTGAATCAAAGGCTTTTTTCAGATCGATAAAAGTGAGGCAGAGTGGTTGTTTGTACTCTCGCGAAACTTCAATGAGTCTTGTGATCGTGTGGATGTGGTCCATGGTACTAAATCCTTTTCTGAACCCTGCTTGTTCGCATGGCTGTCCTTCGTCCAGTGTTCTGTCAATCCTGTTCAGGATGACTCGAGTAAAGAGTTTATAGACAACGGACAGCAAGCAGATTGGGCGATAATTGCCTATGTCGTAAAGGTCTCCCTTTTTGAACAACAATACGGTCTTGCTGGTTTTCCATTGAATAGGGACCTTGCATTCTGACAGGTAGCGAGTGAAGAGCCGAGCCAGGGTGTTGATGAGAACTGGCGGCAGGTTCTTCAGGTGTTCTGGTCTAATCCTGTCTGTACCGGGTGTTGTTCGGTTTTTCACTGACGATATAGCATGTCGGATTTCGGAAGGAAGGACCGGTGGAACGACATATTCGTCCTCTTTCAATTTATATGACGGTAGGAGAACATGGCTAGCGAAGAGATCCGAGTAGTATTGGTGGATGATTTTCTCCATAGCCCTTCTGGAAGCTGTAAGTGTCCCGTCAGGGTATCGGAGTATCACACCCACATACCTTTCAGTTTTTCGAGCTCTTGATATGTCAGCTTTCGATGAAGCGGATTTCTCTCGTCTTTCTCATCTAGATTCGAGGCCTCCGGATAATGAATAAATGCCATGTCAATATAGCTTAATTGAAATATGCAGATACGAATAAACTCTGGAAAAGAATACATGTTAACACACTCCGTTTTGAGCAACTTCAAGGATTCCATAACTTGGTTCCTAGCGCCATGTGAAGGACCATCGGCTTCTGTGAAGAATTTCGTGGTGAGAAAAATATCAGAACGTGACAGATCGTACTTCGACAAAAGCCCCTGAATCACTGATTGCCACACCGATAACCTCAAAGGACAAAACATCGCAAACTGGCTAGTCAGATCAATGAATCAAACTACTTATCAGACACAACTTTCAATACTGCCTATGGCAGGATATGATGGGAAACACAAGAACAAGAATGGTGAGGTCCAGACGTGGTACCTCAGCTGAGCCTCGAACTAACGACTACTCTTTCCAGGGGATCATATGCTATCAACTTAACCAGCTGGGTCCCGACTTTTGCCTTTTTCTCTGCTATGATCCTGATCGCATCGGTGCTCTCAGTAATCACCCGACAACATGACCGATAAAGTACCCAGCTTTCAAAAAAAAGGTAGTAGAAAATTCGATGTGCGCTTATACTCAAGATGAACGTTTTAGGAACGCGAAATGAACGCTGTGATGTCAGAATTAGATGAGACTTTTCTTACAATAATAAACAGTCAGAAAAATAGTTCCATTCATCGAATTGATATCACATTTGAAGAATAAAAATTCTCTTTGAAGAAGGAGCGAAAGGCATTGTGCAACTGACGAGGCGGTAATGCCTAAACACGTCTATTTACTTAGATCGTCCATTCTCATACATTAAACTCAACTTATTTTACGTGCTGCGTAGCAGAGAAACGGCCTTTTCAGGATGTAAGCCCAGCGTTGGAATCCAATTCGATTAAGCTATCGAATGATTACTGATAGTCCAAAGAAGGAGCTCTGTTCGGCGCGAGATATGCGCTAGTTTTGTGTGGAGATCACTATAAAGGATGTTTTTAGAATTGGCGACATGTGGCTGTGGTCTAATGTCTCAGCCTTCGAAGGGGCACTAACACTCCAATGAAAAGTTCCCCTCCAGCGAATGAGGTCGATTTTTCATTTATCCCTTTTGATCAGAAAAAATCCTATAGAACCTCACGAAAAGCTCAAAATATATTACCAGATTACCGATCCGAAAAGTCAAAAATTGCTGAGTTTCTCTACCACTGCTTTTACCATAGGGGATATAGAAACACACGAGAGAGGGAGAGAGAGTAAGTGGGTAAAAGCGTACGTTCGACTTGACTACTGCTACTACAACTAGCTATCATTATTGAAGCCTGTGAAACAGCTCTTCCACATCAAATTTTGCACTTAGGATTTCACGATTAGATCCACCGACAGATAATGCTGCTCCCAAGCCTGTTCGTTCTGACAGTATTAGGCGGTATCAAACATGCGGTAGCCAGAACCGAGAGCCGCATCCACAGCCGGCTTCACCTGAGATA